AGAGAGAGAGAGAGATAATGAAATTATATGTGTGTGTGTATATATGGTGGCAATATGTGGTTATATATAAAATAGATATAATTGTGTGTAATTGTGTGTATATATTCTCATCATTGTTGCTGATGAGACCCACCACAGTCGTATCGTCCGCAAACTTGACAAAGTAGTTGGAGCTGTACGATGGTGTGCAGCCGTGTGTCAGAAGGGTGAATAGAAGTGGGCTCAGCACGCAACCTTGGGGGGCCCCTGTATTCTCTGTGACGGTGCTGGATGCGTTACTGCCGACCCGTACTGCCTGTGGTCTCCCGGTCAGGAAGTCTAGCAGCCAGTTACACAATGAGGTGTTCAGCCCCAGACTGTCCAGTTTAAGGATGAGCTGGGGAGAGTTTCTGTGCAGGTGTGCTGTTACCTGCTTCAAAGCGAGCAAAGAAGTCATTCAGCTCATTCAGTGTAGAGGTTGTGCTGTCACAGGTTTGTGGGGCTGGCTTGTAGCTCGTGATGGTCTGTATTCCCCACCACAGACTCCGTGTATCCTTGCTGTCACTGAAGCGATCTTCCTGGAATACTGCTTCTTGGCCTTTGATGCCCCGGGACAGGTTGTGTCTGGCTGCCCTCAGGCCCACCTGACCTCCTGCTGTGAAGGCAGCGTTTCTGGCTCTCAGGAGTCTGTAGACCTCTGCTGTCGGCCATGGCTGCTGATTTGTCCGAACAGTGATGGTCTTGAGGTCAGTTACATCATCAATACACTTGGTGATGTATGAGCATACAGTATCTGAGTACTCTTGAAGATCTGTGTTGCTGTTTTTGGTAGCAGCTTCTTTGAACATATTCCAATCTGTGGTGTTGAAACAGTCTTGAAGAGCTTCTGAAGAGCCCTCCGGCCACACTTACCTGTTTCTGTTAACTTGTTATTTTGATATTTGAATGTTTCTGTTCCCTGAGACCTCTGTTGGGACTCGCGCTTTATAACTAAACTTTAAAAATTTCACTTGAACCGTTCAAGGAAGAGGGCAGCACGGTGGTGCAGCTGGTAGAGCTGCTGCCTCTCAGCGAGCAGGTCCCTGGTTCAAACCCGGTCCAGGGTCTTCTGGGTGGAGTTTGCATGTTCTCTCCGTGCATGCGTGGGTTTTCTCCAGGTGCTCCAGTTTCCTCCCACAGACCAAAAACATGCATGTTAGACTGATTGGTAACTCTAAACTGTTCCTAGGTGAGAGAGTGAATGGTTGTTTGTCTCTATGTGTCCCTGTGATGGACTGGAGACCTGTCCAGGGTGTCCCCCGCCCCTCGCACAGTGATTGCTGGACATGGGCACCAGCGACCCCCACAACCCAAAATGGAATAAACGGGTAAAGAAAATGGATGGATGTTCAAGGAAGACACCTTTTATTTTGAAAACCTCAACCGGATGCAGACGGCGGTCGTCGTCTCCTGTCCTTGACCTCTGTCCCACGTGACGGTGTCGTCGTCCGGTTAGCTTGTAGCTGCGTCCGTGTTCTGGATCCACTGGAATCAAGTCAGGTTCGGTTCGGAGAAGATGTCCGGTACTGGGACGTTTGCTCTGTCTTTACTGCGGCGGTGCGTCGCGGTGTCACGGCTGCCGGTGCGTGTTGCGTCCGTCAGGTGGAGCTTCGTTCAGCACCGAACATGGACCTCACAGACCCGGTACCCCCAGCCCGCCATCACATGCACCCAGCACCGGTTCTGCACCAAGGTTAGACCCGGGACCAGGTCCGGTTCCCCGTTGTTGTCGGCTCAGTTCAGCACGTGACCGTGTTTTAACAACGACCAGGCCCAAAGCAGCCAGACGTAGCTAAAGAGTAGCTAAAGAGTAGCTAAAGGTAACTGAACGTCAAAAAGCCGCAGAAACATAGCTGTTAGTGGCAGAACGGTAGCTTAAAGAAGCAGAGAAGTAGCTAAAAGTGGCAGAACG